GGTCGTCGTTGACACTGTTGTATTTCTTCTTGACTGTACCCATTCCATTGTGAATATAGCGCGATCATGTTTTCATGTCTTAGGCGTTATCTCCGGTAACACCTGGCAATGCACTAAATCTCAAACTTGTTGGCGAATACCCGAATGTGTACTCACAGGTTACCTGAAGATAGACATTATTTGCCTCAGATATATGGCGACAACAGAGTAGGCACCAAGCCGAGATGTGGCTCAAATTCCTGTCTCAAGACCCAGGAATTCATATGTTTAGGAACAAACCCATTCGTCACAATACTTTTGCCCTCTTGTATTTGTTGTGCATCTTACATTGACCAAGTACACGCAGCGTCAGAGCAGAAAAATCCAAGCTTGTCTCACTATCGATGTAGACAGGGGTAATGACTTGGTATGTATAAAATAACCACGGCACCTGCTTACAGTGCACTGGCACCTGTACATTCATCGTAAGTAAATGCGTGGTATTAAGGACGAAATTCAGCATACCGGTAATAATGTCGACCAACTCGTTGGTAATGGCGGCTTGACGACCACGGTTATATTGCATCGTCAGTCGGTCAATCATGTCTTTTGCATTCTTTGATGCATTGTCCATGGCATTGCGACTGTACCCAAAAATGTTGAGTGATAGAATGTAAAAGTTTGCCTTATGAACGTACCGGGCACTCTGCTCGCATGCATGGGCCTCGACAAGAGCAGCATAGATGGCGTTTGCAAGCGAGAACTCAGCGAGGTCCTTCGTAACGTCATCCTCCATTTCGTATGCCCGGAATCCAGCTAGAAGTGCATGAGTCGCAAAACCAAGACTTGACTACATGTTATCGTACCAGACTCCTTCAATGCATTCTCGCCCACAACTTCAACGATATCAGGCTCATAAGAGACAGCAGAGATAAATTTGTTGTAAACGATAGAAATGCCGTCGTACTTGGCGTCGCTCTTCACAATCAAGTCTGCAACGCCAGCAGCGTCAGCGAAGGTGGGGATGTCACGACCAATTTGATTGAAGGACATGGCCAAGTTCTTGCCAAGTACACGCGACAGTTGCACTTTGGACTTGTCACCGATGACCATGATGGGAGAGTCGGATTCGACGGGCTTCTCAGTGTTAGCAATGGCACGACGGGTGGCCTTGGTCACGGAAGAATGGATACCACCGCAGAGACCTTTGTCGGAGGAGACAACAATGAAAAGCTTGCGCTTTGCAGGGTTTCCGAAGGAGCATGCTGGAATATCTCTGGGCTGTTTTAAGAATAGGGAAGCGGATATATAGTCTACGGGACGCACCGGAGTTAGCAAGACCATACTGCTTGCCGCTCTGCATGGCACGCTGCGCCTTTGCAAGCTTAGTGGAAGCAATCATCTTCATAGACTGCACATCACAAGAAGTATCCGCGGTCAACGCCCAAAAATAATACGAAAAGACATCGGCGCACCTTGGTAATTTTCTCGATATTCTTGACCGACTTCAACCGTAGCTCGATTTCGCGCAACGTAGCCATGTTGCGGGCATTTTTGGGAGCAGCTCCCAACGGGAGGGCTGGGTCGCGATGCGGGCAAGTGAACGCCTTGCTAACATTGAAAAGTGGTCAAACCTGGTGCACGACCGAATTCCGAGCAGCCAAGACACTTCACCGACTTCCGGCGATATCCGATCTGAGCTCGAATCGTGTTGCCGAATCTCGGCATCGATGGAGTCATCTAATCTTGCTTAACATACTCATCAGCGAGCAAGTCCATCTTACGCGTCAACCATCATGGCAGCAGAACAGCCATTGTTCGATCCTTCGCTCAAGAAGCGCAAGAAGAAAGCTGTGGCTTTCACTGAGGACCCGTTAGGTCCTGATGCAGACCCTACTACGCCTGCACCAACCACTATCGAGAACACAACTACCAACGGAGATGTTGTTGATCTCGGTCCTGCCACCGCCCATGAGCAGATGAAGCGAAGTCTTAATGGGGCACCAGATAGTGTTGATGCTGTTGATGAAGCGAAGGAAGATGACGATTTCAAGGCCATGTTTCCAGATGGTCTCAAGAAGAAAAAGAAGAAAAAGGACATCCCTATGGACCTTGTGGGTATATCATGTTAAGCTTATGTTTTGCGATTTTACATGCGTATGTTTCAGGGCGAAGATGGCTCAGGAGCATCGGCTGCAGCTGCTGTACTGCCGCTACGGAGGATCTCGACTTCTCCGACATCAAGAAGAAAAAGAAGTCAACAAAGAAAAAAGCAATGGAGGACTTCGAGAAGGAGCTTAATGAGGCAAAGGCAAAAGATGAAGCTGAAGAGGCTGAAGCCGACGATGGAGAGCATCTTAATGAACTAGATGAAGCAGATCTTGGGGATGACCCATTTGCACGCAATGAAGCACCCGCAGGCATTGACTCTGGCACGGAACCATGGGCTTGGGAGCGACCGAGATTACACTTACCCAGAGGCATGTGCACTTGCGGTGATACCTTTTCCTGACCCATATTAACCTACATCATCAGCTCCTAACACGATTTTACGCCTCCCTCATGCCGCAAATCCATCATTACTCACTTCCACCGGTAAACGATACACGATCGCACCTCCACAAATTCTCCGTGAAGGTGTCCGCAAATCGATCTTCGCGAACGTTGCAGATATCTGCAAGAGGATGCACAGACAGCCAGAGCATGTCATTCAATTCCTCTTTGCTGAAATGGGTACCACTGGTTCAGTGGACGGTTCAGGACGTTTGGTTATCAAAGGTCGTTTCCAACCTAAACAAGTCGAGAATGTTTTGCGTCGTTATATCGGTAAGCTTAAATCTACGCTTTTCATGCTTAGCGCTAATATTGTCAAAGTCGAGTATGTGACATGCAAAACATGTAAATCACCTGATACGCTCCTCACAAAGGAGAACCGTATTTTCTTCATGTCCTGCGAGTCCTGCGGCTCACGTCGGTCCGTTAACGCCATCAAGAGTGGTTTCCAGGCCCAGGTTGGCAGGAGAAAGGCAACTGCGCAATGAGCCGTTGTTGTATTATCAGGAAGCTGTTTGCTATGTTCATCGCTACATTCATCATCATCACGCACATCGAACCCTCAATACATGGTCTGATTGTAGAAGCATGAGGTGAACATTCCAAGTGAGGTGGACATGGTGAACAAGAAAGACAAGAAATAACTAAAAAAAATCATAATGTATCATGGACTCATTGAAACATGACGCAACATCGAGGGACGCAAACCATCCTTCATGAATCGATATCCCCAACCTTCGTCAACACTAGACGGCGTTTTTTCCTTGGGGGCTGTGCCAACTTCGCAGGTGTGACTTCTGGTGCACTCTTGCCTGCAGGGGCATTGTCATCAATACTAGTAGCAGGCGTGGGTGGCGGCTCGGTCCTCTTCGCAGGAACAGTAGGCGTCGTAATAGCAGCTAATGGGACTGAGGAAGACGAGGGCGTCGTCGTGTAGGTGAGGGGCACGAAGTTGTGTTGCGCGATGGACTGAAGTTGTAATGCATATTGTTGAGTGTGATGCGCAGGTAAAATTTCATCAAAGATCACGATCGTACAGTATCCATCTCGCGATGAGAGGATAAGGCACTGTCCGTCAGAAGACCTATTAAATAGCTCAATATAGATACCAGCAGCCGGAAACAGCCATCACATACCACGACGCATCCGTAAATTCATCATAGTGCAGCTTTGTGAGCATGCAAACAGGTCCAGATTGTTGGGTATCATAGATGGCAACGGCATCCATGGTCAGAACAGCGTAAAGCATGCGATAAGGCAGCGCAAACACGGAGCCAGTATTGGGTGGAGCGATCGCCGGGGTAGAGGGCTTTGATGGCGATGGCGTAGAAGGTTTCAGCGATGATGAAGGCATAACTAATTCGGGAGCCACAACATGAGGCGTAGGCGCTTCGACATGAAGGAGTAAATTCTTTTCCACCTTTAGAGAATGTGCAAATATGTCCTTGTGAGTTGCAGGTGTCGCAGAAGGTCCAGCAATATCAACAGAAATCGACCCGTCCCTGCCCTTTTCCAGAGTTCCTGTCTTAGGTTCGTTATACCCCTCTGCGCCAATAACATCTTGCCTCAATTCATAAAGCACAGGGGAAAACTTGACAGCCACGCTTGCTTTCTTATGCCCTGGTAACTGAGCTATAGGAGGACGGGCAAAGTTCGCCCTTGAGTAGATGAACACCGACGATGCCGATGAAGGGTTGGTTTCGCTCGTGGTAATCGCGAGTTTGGATTTACGTCCACGAGTGGGAGTTTCTTCGGCCTTGGGCTTGTTAGTAATGATGCTGGGATCCTCAAATTGCCCTGCAGGGGTTAGCAAGAGACCTCCATCTGGGCTGAACGTTAAGCGGCGGAAGAAGTTCGAGAAACTTTCATCTCCATAGAGTTTAATAGTCGACCATGCGGGCGAAGGAAGCGCGCGGATCGCGGGAAGGGGTGGCATAGGAGAAGGAGATCTCCCATATCGTGCATATTGCCCAGGAGAGCCGGGGGCATTAGATCCACTGAATGAAGACCGTCTCGAAGAAGGTCTCTCAACCGGCGGAGGAGGGAACATCGATGTGGATGGTGTGCTGACTACTGACGCGGTCGGCGTCGGAGGAGCGTAGTTGCCAGAGAAAAGAACATCATCTTTGTGCTGGTCGCTGACAGTAGACTCTACGTCACTAGCAGCAGACTCATGTCTGTAGGACCTGGAACGGCTGTGCGAGCTAGGGGTGCGGCTGTGATTGTGGGTGTAAGACATTCGTGTGTTCTTGCCCACAGCATGGGCTTCGAACGTGCCCTGCTTGGTCGAGATCCGATACACGTGCATCGAACGGTCACTGCTCTGTGTGGCGATGTATTCGTTGAGCGGATCCCATGCTACGCCTTGGACATAGTGGTTGTGTTCAGCGATTTCACAGACGCATTTACCTAATCCAATGAGCCTGTATTCCCCACAATAATAACGCAAAACCCACCATCACTAGGGGAGAACACCCTGGCACAGTTGTCCGTACTGCCGGCTAAAATGTATTCCCCAGTTGGACTCCACGCCAGGTCATACACCTGCATCGTCGTGCACCTGTCCCATATTTCATTCTACCTCGATCTGAAACTGCGCATGAAAGTTATCTTACCTGAACGTCGTACGCGGCTTCCAGTACTCCTTTTCGTATTGCAATTCGTCCGCAGTCAGATCACTGCCATACGTGGCGGTCTGCGGCGTGCTTGAAGGTGCCCAAATGATAATCATGCCGTCTTTCAATGAACTCGCGTCAAATAGGATCAGCCAAATATTTAAGATTCATACCGTCTCCAGCGGAGGCGATGAACTCCCCTAAAGTCGCGTTAATAAAGTGGTCAAGGCTGACAAGGCGCGTGCGCAAAACGCGTACCGTTAGGGGAGAATCGAACAACGTTCACAGCAGCCGAGTGTCTGCTAAGCGTTGCAAGATATTCGACCCGGGCAGGGCGTGGTGCAGCATCACCTGCACCCTCTGCAAGAGACAACGGGAGGATGTTCGGATGCACCATCCATATCTTTTCGAGCCCGGTTGGTCAGCGCACTGGATGTACCATTGAAGGCTCACTCACTCTGACGTGGTTGTCCTCGCCTCCCGTGGCCAGCCTATAGGACTGCGCAGCAAAATTCTTCTCCTGCGTTGGACGCGCTTTTTTGAACGGAACAGGTTGAAAGTCGCAAGTGGATATGGGCTTGGAATCATGCCATCGAATCTCGAGGGTGCGATAACGCATTTTTGAATGTACTACTGAGCGCAGAGAGGGATTATGGTAGTAGAATGAAGGATCCTGAGCGCTACAGGAGGAGGAACATTTGTTCACGGACTGACAGTAATACGGATCGGAATCAAAGGCTCCTTATGTACAAAACAGACCCAGGTGGCCGACTCGCACGCTCATGATCGATTGTTGTCTACCTACAATTCTATGTATTCAATTACAAAAATAATGTGGAGCTCATGATCACAATAACAAAGCAGCGTGCTCGAGCGATTTACGGAGTTTCCGATTAGCTCTCTCTTCCATATATCACTTCCAGATCCCTCAGATCACGTTGCAACACCTTCGTCAAATGCTGTAAACCGGCTTGCTGATTGGACAAGATCTGCAATGTGCATGTCAGAGTCGAAGCTCAGAGTTCACAAATGAAACACCTACCTGAGCGATCTGCTTGAGGCCTTCCTCATCGACGACCGTCCATTCAGAGGTACCGTCGAGCCCCACTCTTCTGCCTCTCTCGCGGGCAGCGTTGATAGCCCCTACGAGTGCCCACAGCTCATTCAGCTTTCCTCGCATCTTACTCATCCCACCTGGTCTTCTTATTTCTTCTTCGATCTCCTCGAGCGCTAGACGTAGTGCCTCTTCTTCGGGACGTATCGCCGTAGACCGGACAGTAGGTAGCATTAGATGCATGTGCTGGATCAGGCACAGCAGGCGGTGCTGGGTTTGTGATTGGATCGACTTTGCGCGCTGCAAACGTGATGCGTTACTATCGTTATGTCTCGCGGACAACGATTCCAATCGCTTTTTTAGCTCCTGAAACACGCCTGAGTAAGGAAGTTTTCTACAATGTAAGAAATAGCTACAAACCATCAAAGTTTTCTGCTGATCCGTGGCTTGCCTCATTTGTCCGTCTACGCGCTGACGCAGATCGTCAAAGCCAACTGCAAGAACAGGTACCATACTGAAGAGATAACATGA